GGCCCATGTCCCCAACAAATATACCTGTGAAGTTGGTGGGCCTGAGAGAAACGCCTCTCCAGATGATCTTAATACCTGAGTAGACTCATAAAGGGAAATGCAGTCCTGGAGATAGCTTGGATCCAAGCTGTTTAGGGCTTTATAGGTTAGAACCAGCACTTTTGAATTGTGCCCAGAAATGGATAAGCAGCCAGTGGAACTGCTATTACAGGGGGAGTTATGTGATCCCTCTGACCAGCCCTAGTTAGCAATCTGGCTGCTATGTTTTGGACTCACTGAAATTTCCAGATACTTTCCAGAGGCAGCCCTGTATAGAGCACCTTACAGCAATCCAGCTGGCATGTAACTAAGGCATGTGCCACTATGGCCACATCAAACCTCTCCAGGAATGGCTGCAGCTGGCACACTAGTTTTAATTGTGCAAATGCATACCTGGCTACTGCTGAAACCTGGGCATCCAGGTTAAAACTGTGGTACTTCAGTCAAGACTCTGCTCATGACCTGAGTTTAATCCCAATGGGCTCAGGTAGCTGGCTCAAGGTTGACTCAGCCTTCCATCCTTCTGAAGTTGGTAAATTGAGTACCCAGCTCACTGGGGGGTGGGGGGGCACTGTGTAGCCTGCATAATTAAATTGTATAGTGCCCAGCAAGTGCTTTAAGTCCTATGGGGTGGTATATAAGCAGCACACTTTGCTAAAACTTTAGTTTTCACATCATGATTGCTGGAAGAATCTTCCGGAAACACAATCTCCTGCACCCTCTGTCACAAAATGCCTAACAGACAAAGACAGGAGAAAGATCAGGAAACAAGGAGGGAAAAAACCTTGTTTTTCCTCTGGCTCAGATTTGTACCTTAAAAACAATTGCAAGGAAAGGCTACTCAGAGAACCCTTATCAGGCAGAACTGTGGGAGTCATAAGGCAACAGATTCTGCCAAAGAGGGAGTTTATGCCACACAAAGAGTAAAATAGAAAAGTGAATGCTCTTAGGATCCTAAACAAAATAGACAGCAATTCTTCAATTAAAGCTAGTCAGAGAGCTTGACTATGGAACAGATTTCTATCAAAGGGTCTATTTCATTGACCTAGACATGAATGAAAAGGGAGACCTTTTTGGAAATGTCTAAACGTTTACTAGATGATGCAGGTTTGCAACTTAATTAGGTGCTTAGGACAAGAGAGGTGTGTAGGACAACAGAACAGGTGTCCTACAAAAACAGCTGAAAAAATTCCATTCAAATTTTGGAGAGGATATGAGCCTCATTTAGGATGTCTGAGAGTATTTGGCTGTAAAGCTTATGTGTTTATGCCAAAAGCCAAGAAGTAAATGGGATACAAGGTGTGAGTGTGGAGTTCTAGGAGCCCTGTGGTGCAGTGGTTAAACTGCTATACTGCATCCAAAAGTGTGCTCATGACCTGGGGTTCATTCTGAGGTTAGTAAAATGAGTACCCAGCTCACTGGTGCGGGGGGGGGGCAAAGTGCATAATTAACTTGTAAACCACCAGAGAGTGCTTTAAGTGCTATGGGGCAGTAAATAAGCAGCACACTTTGTGTGTGTGTGGTTTTTTTGTTTTTGTTTTTGTTTTTTGTTTTTTTTTTGGTGGACTATGCTGCAAATGGCAAAAGCTAAAGGAGTTTGAGTCTTCTCAACGTGGGGGAAGTGAGTGTGTATTCAGTAGCCTGGTTTGATGAGAGGAAGAATAGGAATGCAGCAGAGCCAAGGCAGTCTAACAGGACAGAGAGATATGTGTTTCCTGAAAGACGGTGTGTTAGGCTATAAAAGACAGTGAGGTGCAAGAGAGTGTTGATCATAACATATATTTTTACCCTAACACTAATGTCATCTGCCACATTTTACCCACATTGGTATTTACACTTCTGAAATTATTTTCAATCGCAGTTGTAACCTGCCATGTGCAAATCTAAATACTGGGATCCCCTTGGTGTTAGTTCAAGGCTTACGTAACTTGCAATGGTCAATTGCAGTTAATTGATTTGGTGCCAGCAATCCGAGTGCTATAGTTGGGCATATGGCCAGGCATGCAATGGAGAGTGCCCTGGCACTTCAATAATTAGCCACAATTCGTTGTGGCAGGTTATAAAAATTCTACATGAAAACCAATAGGATTCTTGCCACAATTCACAACACACAATATCTATTTGAATCCCCCCCCTTGATTCCATTATTATTACAGTATGAGAATTATAGTACAGTAGTCATGGTAATTTGCATTGTATTTTTTCCCAGGGTAATTTTTTTTTGCAGTTACCTCACAGAAACTAAGTTCCTGAAAGAGTCTATATTCCATTTTCCTGTAGGTTTGGCAAACCTTAAAATTAATATGCCAAGCTTGAATCAGACCTTTCCTACGCTGGGTTTTCTAATTTCACCACTGGCAAAATGGTCACCATGTTTCAAGGGCCTTTCTAGATGACCTTTTCACACTGTAACTTTACCACTGTTGCTCATTTTTTGTATGGTATCCACATGTCAGTTTTGCAAGGAAAGACCTCACCTGCATCCTTTCACAAAGAAAAAGTGGCAGACACCTGGAATACTTCATCTTCTTCCATGTAACCATGTCCAACCATTATGTGAGCTTTCTTTTTTCAAATTTATATTTTTGATTGCCACATGCACTCTTTCTCCTACACTGGAGCATGCATCTCCCCAAATTCACACCTTTGTTTTAAAAGCAGCAAGTGGACTATCTACCCACAGCAGGACCACGTAGCCACCAGCACTGTGTGAGAATAGAACATTAGACTACTGATGGTGGGTTGGGAAGTAATAGTACAGCATTAATTATAACATCAAATTATCTGTCATCTGGAAAGACCCTGCATTGCTTGTTGATATCAAAAGAAATCTTATTATCACCCAGTAGTAAAGGTTTCAAGATGCACCTAAGGATCTAGGGCAAAGCATTTCTTTTAGATGTAAGTTAGCAGAGTATAGTATCACACAAGTGAACACAGCACAGTGGAAACCACACATGGACTTTTTAGCCATGCAGTAACTTACTGGATGACAAATATCTCCTTGCGTCTAAAGAAAAAGGAGGAATATCTGGAAACAAAATCCATTCACAGTTAAGTATTCAGACAGAGACCAGCATTCTTAGTCAGATCAATGTTGCCTACATCAATGTGCAGACAGTGAGATAAGTGGTTGCTTTAAAATGCATATTTAAATCAAAATGTTATGGGTATATAAATTTTTCCTATCCATTTCCTCTAGTGAATATCTTCAGTATTATTATTATGACCAATTTATTAGTGGCAGGAACATTAACTATTTATATTAAGGAACATTTATCAGTCCTCTAGATAAAACTGATCAACAACCAAGTCTCTCCTAGTCACCTATAGTTTGTAGTAGTAAGACTTATTTGACAAGGTTGCATAAGCTATTCATTTGTGACTTAACTCATATATTACATTGTCTGCCAGTTGCTCATGGGTAACCCACCAGCGGGATATGGCTATAACTGCTTTTGTCCATCTTATGTTTCCCAGCAACTGATATACCAAGATAATATAAAGCAATCCTGATTAGTAGCTGTTAATGGGCCTATAATTGATTTAGTTCCACTGAAATGCATGGATTGAGCTCAGTTTATACAGTATTCAGTTCTCAAGCACAGATTCATCTTCTCAGGTGGTACTCTGTCTTCCAGTGTGTTAGTATAAACATGAATAATCATGCCTTCTAGATGTGTCTTTGTTCTTTTGCCAAGCATCATGTGAAAGCAAATGTTAAAAATTTTAAAAGGGCCTTCTCCCAAGCTGAGGCATTCTCTGCCAAAGAAGACTAGGCAGACTCCTTTCTGGTTGATATTCTGAAAGTAGGAAGTGATCATTTTATTCAGACAGAGTTTCAAAAACTGAGTGACTCTGTGAAAGGAGCTTTTCTACTTTCTTGAGCCAGACAGGAGCAATTCCCTGGCAAACAGAAGGATCGCTTTAAGACAGATCACTCCCATTAAAGCAACCCTTTCTGGTGCAATCAGGCACAAAAGCTTGTACAGCCATCTTGATTCCATCCTGTTCTTAAATTTCTTTTTAACTCATCAGTGTTTTAGTACTATAATTTGTTTTAGTTGTACACTGAGCATGGTAGATCTTGATACACACTTGCTTTTATCTCGTTTTTACCTGTACAGATTTTTAATTTTATCAAACAAGCAAACAGCTTATGTTAAAAACACATCCAAAGCTTCACTGAGTTACAGACTGGGATACAGTAAATTCTAAAATTTTAAGTGGTAATTAGTATGAGCAATGCTCATACTGCTTGCTATTTCTGTTGAGGAGGATGAGTATGAACTGTTAAAAAAAAGATCTCAAGCAAATCCTGAACTGTTTTTGTAAATGATTAAAACTGTCTTCATATTATTTCATCTTACAGCTATCATACCCATATCCTGCTTCTTCATTCCCCTTGCCCCTATTTTCCCCTCAAAATCATGTGAAGTTAGGCAGAAAGAACAGTTCATTCAACATCCAGTGAACTTTATGGCTTCTTGAATTTTACCAGGTTTCCCTGGTCCAAAAGCAATAAACTATTCACTATACCACACTGGCTTTAATGTGGATAAGATTATTGAAATGTAGTCACAGAGTGGCATATTATAGAACATCTCTGAGTCAATGTGAACACCAGTAACACATTCTCAGAGTATTAAGAGTGCATATTTTATTCTGCCCACCCAGCCCATTCTACATCAGAGATATTACTTTTGTAATTAAAAATCATGTAGCAAATGTTCTAGGCAGGATTATACAATGATTTGCATTTTGGCTTTGCTCCATGGTGAGGAAGAGCACATCATTATCTGAATTCCTGAGAGAAATGTCTGGAGGTCAGCTTTTGAAAGAGGATCTTTGTGACCTGTGTAAATAAGAACACCACAAACACTTCCAAATAAGTAAAAGGTCACTATGGGGTCATTGCTCAGATCTCCAGACCTACTGTTTTGCCTAAGGAGTATGCTTACCGTGTAAATCTTTCATCCTTCATTTCCAGGTCTGCCACTGTGATCAACTGATCTAGTTTGAATTTTGTGTCAATAATTTCTGCATCTCGTGGAGAATATGTGCCTCCTTCCTTTTGCTTTTGCCGAATTCTAAGCCAAAGACCATAAGAAGAATGAAAGAATGAACTACATGAACTTCTGGAAAGAAAGACATAGTCAGTATTTCAAGGAACTAATAGTAGGGAAACAAAACAAAACAAAAAAACCAGAATGGAAGTTGTTATATGCTATCAGATTGGAAACAATTTATACATAGAAAACCCTAATAGGGCTTTCAAGGTAAGTGCGGTGTTTCAAGGAGTGGTTTTACTAGTTCAGCACCCCCAGTAAGTTTCCATGGCAGAGCTGGCATTTGAACTCAGGTCTCCTGAGACCTAGTTTATCACTCTATCTACTACATCAAACTAGGTATAGAATGGAAGTACCAGTATATAACCTGTTTCCCAACATTTTGATGGAAACTGTAGCCATTCTCCTCCCTGGCATCACTCTACTAGCTTGCAGTCCAAATTAAGATTGTGTTTATTGGCCGGGATCCTATCCATCAAAATATGTGCAGTAGACAGTAGTGTGAGTGGCCTGATATGCTTGATGCTCATTTGAGTACTACTGGAGCAAGATTAACTAACACCCCCCTTTTTAAAGTCATAATTACTGTTTCAAAGAGCAAGTTGTAAGGAAACTATAAAAATAAGATGGAAACTCCAAATATGGAAGTGCCATGTATAATCTGAGGGGTTTTTTTGGCCATCCTGAGAAATGGGAAGTCAAAATTTTGTGTGAGAGAACTTGCATATCCAGTAAGATTTGGTCAGACAAGATTGTTTGAGATAACACATAGCTTGGCTGTAGCTAGCAAATATGTAATAAATCTCATCCACCTACATCTAGATTGGGGTTACCCCAGTTAGTTGTGGATCAGCTGACTGGAAACTTAGAAATAATTTTGCCTTGATTGGCCATGAATGGGAATTGTTTGTTTGTAGCCTTCCCTGGGGTACCATCTTGCACTCAGGTACATGATTATAGTTATCATAATGTCGGCAGGTGGAAGGGAAGACTGAGGCCCATAAAAGGAAGAGTTAGTGCCCTCTTCTTCTTTGGTGGACACAAATTTGTGGGACTAGCACAATGGTGTAATATCATCTCCAAAATCTTAGTAACAAATTCATATGCTAATTTCTCCTTAATTTTAATGCAGATGAAGACCTAGGGCTGAAATCCTGTTCATTCAAATGATTGTTTTATGTACTCTAGGATAATTCAGCAGAAACAAACAGCAAAAGTGCATACCTTGCAAAAGCATAAATGGCAGCCACAAGAAGAATTACAGAGAGTATACACAAAGTTACTGCAAGTATTATTTCTACAGCTCTTTCAGACAGTCCATCACCTGTAACACAAAGTAGTTATTATGTGGATTGAAATTTAGTTGAAAACAAATTTAATATCTGAAAGCTGCAGGGTATGGTTTACTTTTGCAAATATATTTTATGCAAAAGTGATTCTACTGAACTTCTCTAAAGATCTAACTTCATAGAATTAAGAAAGACCAAAAACAGGGAATTATTTTCTAAAAAGGGATATTCTATAGCTAAGATGAGAACCACAGTGTTCCCAGTACCATGTTAATTACTCCAGTGGTGTAATTATGCCAATTCCTCAAAGCTGCTTATGGACAAAAATTAGTATACTTAACTAAGTACATCACTATTGAAAACATACATGTCTTGTAAACCAAGTTGCTGCATACTAGTATTAGTACATTAGCATTAGAGCTGAGTCCTGAACACAGTTCCAGCACATGCACACCAGTACCATATGTAGGCTAAAGCAAGTTCAGGTGCCCTAATACTTTCTCCCTTCTCTTTCTGATGCAAACTTTCCTCCTATAGCCCAGACCGCAAACAGCTGGTCAAAGAGAAAGGACTGGGGACAGCTCATTATGTACCATCTGAAGCCTTGCTTGAGAAGTTTTGAATCTTATAAAAAATCCAGAGTCTTTGCAAGTGACTTCATCATTGTGTAATTTGTTCATTTCCCATATAATTTATGAAGAGGAACTCATATGGGATACAGGTGCAGGCTTTCCAAGAGCAATGGCAATATAAAAGTTATTGAAATCTTCAATTTTGATGTGAATTGCATGCAAAGGAACTAGCAATTAGGAATATTTTATAGAATATAAACAGGTTTATAATTCTATAAAATGTTCTTTTTCCAACTATTTTGTTCTATTCTGTTGAAAACAATTGTAGAAACATCCACTTTACCTAAGGTTTTGATGGGGTCAGAGTAGTCTGAATCTGTAAATTGGCCTTTGATATTTGTAGCTCTGAACTTAAATCTGTAAAAGAAAATAATATAGATTAGGATCTATAGTAGGCCTGGCTGGTGATGTGCATATCAGTTGATGCAGTAGAATACAAACCATGCTGTATTTAGAAGCAGTCAGAATCAGGGATAATGGAATAAAGACATAGACATTTATGGGTCACCCATAAATTAAGGGTTCATCAAAATGCTACAAAATAAATATCCTAAATATCAGATGTTCCTTGCATGAGCACAGAAGGCAAGTTAGATCTGAATACAGAAGGCATAGTATTAGGTTCCAGTTTCACTTAGCTTGATGTGTTGTTCCCACACTTGCCCATTTATTGTGGGAGAGGCAGGACTTTATCATGATTTCTTCCATCTTTAGTGTGAGGAGCACAATATCTATCGTAAACTGGATCAAACTTAAATTGCAATCAGCTTGAACTATGATGATGATATGATAAACAAATCTCTACATTTCTATTTAATTTTTTCATTAATTATTTTAATTCATTAGTTTCAGCATCATTCTATATAAATAATTTAGACAGATTGCATGAAAAAAATGTTTTTGCTTCCTTTTTTACAAGTTAGTTTAATATAAAATGCCCTGGATCCGTTCCAGTCGGGCTTCAGGCTGTGCCACGGTACGGAAATGGCATTGGTCACCCTGCTAGATGACCTATTGAGGGAGGCCAACGGGGCAAAAAGTCCTTGTTGGTTCTCCTTGACATCTCAGCCACCTTTGATACCGTCGACCACGGTATCCTCCTGGGGAGGCTCTCTGAGTTGGGGATTGGTGGTCTGGCTCTTCCCTGACTCTTGTCCTTCTTGGAGGACTGTTCTCAGAGAGTCCAGCTTGGTGAGAATGTTTCGGCCCCGCGGCTCCTCAATTGTGGGATCCCGCAGGGTTCGATAATCTCTCCAATGCTGCTTAATATCTACATGAGGCCACCGGGGGGGGGTGTTATCGGGGGTGTGGTGCCTTCTGTCATCAGTATGCTGATGACACTCAGCTCTACATCTCCTTATTTAATTTCTTCAACTGATTTTTCCATCTTGGATTATGTTTGCTTGTTTTAGTTTTTTTTTAATTGATGTTTTTAATTCTATTGCTTTTTGGACTGTAAACCATCCAGAGTAGATGTATCTAGATGGGTGGTATAAAAGCCAAATAAATAAATAAATATGTTGTATCTTCTGTCACAGGCACCTGTCAGAAACCATATGTGGCACTTATTGATGGAATTACAATGGGAGGTGTAAGTAGCAATATTTTCTAAGATTATAAATTGGCTTCTTTCCACTCAAGGTAAAAACAGTTTGGATCAGCAGCAAGCCAGATGAAATGACACATACACATTTATTGATGGACAGTGTACACTACATATAGAGTGTCAAGAAATTGGAAAACAGGAGGTCATGGTTGAAAAAAAGTCTTGTAGTTTGTGTATGGAACTAGCAGGCTAGGAGAAAGGGGAGAAAATGCTCATTAATTCGGAGACCACACCATCTGTCCCTTATCTCTATGAGAAAGGAAGCTCCAAGGGCAGAGCTTCTTCCTTGGTACTGAACTAATTAGCAAAGAATGGTTTCAATTGAAGAGAAGGAAAGGTGAGAGAACTTTCTCCTTTGAGAAGATTTCAGGTAATTTAAAACCTGACTGGCACATTTCCTTGAAAGATCTAGAAATTGGAATGATGGATATAAAAAATGGAGAAATAAGTGACTTAGCTTAGCCTAGTATCTCAAAGGAAAACACTATGCTCATCTGCTGCTCCTTTTCCTGATTTGTACTCTGCATATGCTCAGAAACTATGCTGAAATTTTGCCAGAATGTATTAGCTAATTAAAGATAGCTTTCTTATTTTCTTGTGGAATTGTTCTTGCCTCAGTTGTATTTGTAGGCGGGTGTGGTGGCACTGCGGGTTAAACCACAGGCAAAAAGTCCTTGTTGGTTCTCCTTGACATCTCAGCCACCTTTGATACCGTCGACCACGGTATCCTCCTGGGGAGGCTCTCTGAGTTGGGGATTGGTGGTCTGGCTCTTCCCTGACTCTTGTCCTTCTTGGAGGACTGTTCTCAGAGAGTCCAGCTTGGTGAGAATGTTTCGGCCCCGCGGCTCCTCAATTGTGGGATCCCGCAGGGTTCGATAATCTCTCCAATGCTGCTTAATATCTACATGAGGCCACCGGGGGGGGGTGTTATCGGGGGTGTGGTGCCTTCTGTCATCAGTATGTCTACGGCTTGGAAACGGGGATGAGCACCGCCCCCTAGAGTCAGACACAATTGGACAATTTGTCAAGGGGAACCTTCACCTTTACCTTTACCAGTTGTTTTTGCACAGCTGGAAAGTGCTTTGGATTCCCATTCTGTGAACAGTCTGGAACAGGATGTTCACAAGTGCAACTTTTACTGTGCTAGAGGAATGCCACCAGCGGGAACAGGCCATGTACTTAATTCAGATAGCTGTCGCTCTCACAAGCAGTTGGGTGATAGTATTTCTTAGGGAGTATAACAGCTTACCTGTGTACTGGTTTGCTTACTACCCATTTATGTAGTACAGTGTATTTGTAAACACAGAGATATTTATAAAGCACTGCAAGTCTCCATCTTTCTGGAAAAAAAATTATAGCTCAGAGGAAAGGGAGGATAGATTTTAAAAAAAAAACACCCTTTATTTTAGAAACTGATCTGACTGCTTTCTTTCTAAATTTTTTGAAATGACAATACTGAATTGCCTTTCTCAAATGGCCCTTAAAGTACTAGCGAATATTTTTGTCCCACCTTATACATATTATGGATAATCTATTATACAGATATAAAATTGTCATCATATACTTACAAATATTGTTTTCGGGGCTTCAGTGGGCCATTGCAAATTTTGTCTTCACTGCCTGGTGTCATACATGTACTATCAGCCCCTATTACATATACATCCTCTTTGCTGCTTAGTCCTTCATTTCCTTCTGTGCATGGAGGGTTTGGAAAGCCTTCATTTACAAAATAGGGCCTTGGCTTTTTGAAATAGGCATCGTACCATTTAGTTACATTCCCATCATGCTGAACTAGAGATAGAAGAGAGTTACATATTACACTCTGAGGATGTCACAAAATAAAACAGGACAGTCAAATAATTCCATGAATACATCCCACTAAATATAATACTGTATATACAGAAATGCAAACAATTTCACATATGGGAGAATGCGTCAGTTTTGGAACAATTGTGCTGACATACATGATTCCAGAAGACAAATAGTGTGGAATAGATTGAAATAGGAGTTCAATGAACAGTGAATATTTTGATGGGATTCCAGTGCCAGAATTTCTCAATTTCATTTATCTAAGAAGTGAAATGCCATGCCCTTCCCAGTATATGTCTTCATTGGGTGGTTCACAATATAAAATATTTAATTTTAAAGCTGGACAGTAAAAGATAAGAACACATTGTGAAAAAGACATTTTCTTTTTTCCCTTCAACTCCCTATCTCCATGTACTATTTTTGCCCCTTCATTTGTTTGAGGACTCCCAAAATAGTGGAAGTCAAAAAAGTATATATATTTTTCTTGATCCAGAGCATCTTTCCAGACCTGTAGCTAGAGATGAGTCACTGGGGCACTGACCCAGAGTGCAGAAATTTGCTCCTGGAAGGACATAAACCCAACCCTTAGTATTTGCTGCTGGAAGATTGCGATTCTGCCTCCCTGAGCATATAGTTCCCAGCCACTCCTCCCTGGGAACAAGGAAATGAAAAACAGGCAGGGGTGCCATGAAAGCAACAGGACCCTTGCACATTAGACCAAGGCAATCCTCCTCTGTCCTCTTCCCTCGTGAATCAGTTGAATGGGACTCATGCTTAAAGCATAAGGCAATGAAACCCTAGACATCAAAATGGCTAGTTGTTGCTCTGCCTTTTCCTTTTAATTGCTTTTTTTGTCAGATAAGAAACTTGCACAGAACAACCATATTGATTTCGGAACCTTGTACGTTTTATTACAGGAGGTGTGCAAGTCTGTTACAACCCCAATGCTCTCTTGCAACTGGCAGCTGCTTTTCTTGGATTAAATCAAGGAAAGATTCATTAGTAATAGAAAAAAATGCATGTGTTTATATCCAAGAGAAAAATCTATTGCATACCTCCTACTTCTGTAACAAGAATTTGTATTTTCTTGATCGGTCCATGATCATCATTATAGTAACAAACTGGCATATGAATAGTGATTGTAGTAGCAGTGACGAGTAGTGTTCCACTGGCATCGTAAACTGGCATGGGCTTCTTACTAGGTCTTGGTGGTTCTGTTTAAAATAAATAAATGATCCAGTGCTATTTGTTAAATCCAATTGTTAGCATCATTTTCAACTTCCTTTTTGGTCAAGTATTTTTTTTTTCTGAATTAAATGCCCATAATATTATTCTAATAAGCCAATCCTATGAGCCCACAAACCTGGATAATGCAGCACTGATATTGTAACAGCCATTCTGATCTAAGTAGCACAAATGAAAGGGGAGGAGCATTTTTCACAAGGAGAGATAAAGATATGGATACCATTCAAATCAGGCCCATTAAACTCCAAGTAGTAGAATGGAGCTATCTTAAAATATTGTATGCTCCAACCCTGATATAATTACTTGGAAATAAGTCCTGGTATATTCAGTGGGACTCTTCAGTAGTAAATATAATTAGGATTGAAATCTGGGTGTGAAAGACAAAGTAATCTATTTAAAACTATTGCAACTTCTCCAGAACATACCATTATTTAGTTTAGAAGCTGCTGCACAATAAAGCTCGACATTAATGCAGATCTTAGCATAAATCAGTAATAGCAACAGTGGGAATGAAAATAACTGTTAAAAAAGCTCTGGGATACAGTATGTGTTTCACAGATCATGGAAAAGCAAATGAAATTTCATTTTGTTTCTACATCTATGAACTATCTACATCTATGAACTATCTCATAAAACTATATATCAATATAGTGTGAGCCTACCTTTAATGTCTGTCGTGATCTTAAGTTGGATTTTTGGCCCTGCACCAGCACTATTGATTGCATATACCTAAATGAATGAATAAATGAAACATATTGTTAGGCTTCAGTCTCTTTATCCTAATCATGTATTTTAAGAGCTCCATTAATTTATTCGGTGCTTCACACTGCGTGTATGCATATGTGTATGTGTATATTTATGCACACCCACACCCCCTTTAAAGGTCATGGGTGGGGAAAAAAGAGTTTGGTTTTGAAAATGCTAATACTGACAGTGAAATCAGTGGTAAACATAAAAACAAAGTATTTGGAGTTTGGTTTAGAAATTAGTGGGGCATTCTTATGTGCATAAGTTCAAGATTGGTCCTAAGAAAGTTTGCTCACCATTCTTTGTGATATTGTTTTTCAAATTAAATATAACAGAAGGAAAAATATAACTGGAAATTAGACCCAGGCATCAAGACATGAATCAGTGTACAGCTGCCTTATTTGGACTAACCTAAAGTATTTGGACTCTTTTTCAGGTCAGTCCCACATGTCTAGAGCCACCTAGAGTGGTCTGGTGGTCCACATAGGTGAGATATAAATCAAATAAATAATAATAATAATGTGATACATTGCAGTAATCTGAACAGCAGGGTGTCAGAACATGAATTACTCTGACTAGATTGTCCCTATCTATTTAGGGTCATAGTTGGTTAATCAGCCTGACAGACATCCCCAAACTATGAACCTCACCTCTAGAGAGAACACTACTCCTTCAAAATGGCCTGAATGCTACTGGACACATTTTGGTGTTCCATTGAACCCTAAAGATTCCTGGAATTTATCATTAGAGCTAGTGGAACTAACTATTCCTTCAATGCCCACAGACAGTAATCATAGTGAATTTCATTCAGATTAGCCAAAGGCCATTGAAGCATTGATTCAATACACAGAACCAATGACAAGTCAACAAAACAGCATCTTCATAAGCATATACAGTATAACAAGTTCCAAAATGGCTAGAATTTAAAATATACAGTATATAAGAACTCTATTTTTATACTGTCATCCATAGTGACCTGAGGGACCTTTGCTATCCTAAATGGCCTTAGTCACCATACACTATTCAATGGGGTCTTTATTCATTTGATTAATCCAAACTTGCCTTAGCTTGATGGCTCGCCAGCCAAATTTGGCCACATTGTAAGTTATAGCCTTATTTCTATCTTGTAGCAAGGTCTGGAAACAGCCCTTCCTGTCACCTCCATCCCTGTCCAAAATAATTGGATTGATGTAGCTTTCCCAGATCTGTTTGTAAATTTTGCAGTCCCAAAGTACATGCTCCAAGGTCTCTATACTTCCTTCACCGCATACACACAGCTGATTCAAACATGGAATTTTCTTATACCTGCCCTCCAAGATGGCAGAAGGCAACATGTCCATATGGATTAGCATAAATGCCCTTCTACTTTCAGAATTTTCAAGTTTGCTTACGTAAGGCATTGATGAGTTTCTATTGATACCGATGATATCCCTTATATGTGCTTTAACTCTATTCAGATAATGCTGCCTTTCTATGTCTAAGATCCTTTGTTTGATCAGACTTTTGGTTTGGTCGTAACTCATAGATATTAGATACTGGTGTGAGAATCCATAGTCCCCCAATTTGTTCTCCAACAGTTCCATCCATGGGGAAACATAGTTGTCCTTTAATATCAAATGGGCGAGCCCAGAGTTAGTGTGGTTCTATTTTAACCAATATGACAGGACAATTATCCAAAGTCTTGCCTCTATAGTTACTAGTCCTGTTTCCAGACAAACCATTGCATTTGATGCACTGGTTGGCAGCAATGGTATGGCTTTTAAAAATGTAGTTTGAAGCTTTTCCATCGTGGATCCGTTTGCTACAATACTAAAAGGAGCACCGTAGGTCAATTGTGCCAAGGATTTTGCCATAAATAGTTTGATGGCTGCTATCACATTTCATCCCCCTTTGGTCCAAAAGAATTTTTGTATTGCACTAGCACTTTTTTGTGCATTAGATACAACATACTTTATATGCAAGTTTTTCTTCTCATTTGTCTGAACAATAACACCGAAATATTTGTATTTTTCTACCTGTTCAATGTGGACTTGATTTAAATACTAGGTATGCCTCTTTGGTCTATTAGCAAAGGATATGACCTTTGTTTTATCATAACTTATCTCCAATCGGTTTTGTTGGCAATATTTAGAAAGTGTCCTCATCATTCTCTTAAGTCCTATCGGTGTCCTTGAGAGAAGCACGGCATCGTCTGCATACAATAGTATCAATGTGTTTGCTTGCCAATTTAGGGGGATGATGTTTTGGAAGATTTAACTGCCCACAGACATTATTTCCATCTGACCTGGACTGATTGGCCTTCTCCTTGTCTGGTATCATACCTAATTACAGTTTTAGAACATTGGTTGCCTCAGCTGTATTATATTAAAAGGAGAGGTACAACTGAAGGAATGGTCAGTTCCACCAATTTTGATAATAAATTCCAAGAATATTTAGGGCTAAATGAAATGCCAGTGTGTGGTAGTGGCAAGAATGTTGGACTGCGATTTGGGAGATAGAATTTTTAAAAGAATTTCACTTTTACTAGACTTTTCCAGAATATTCTGAAATATTTTGTATGAGTATCCTACAAGGGATGAGCAGAATAATGGAGAAAGATCCAGTTTTAAGTCCTCTTTCATGCATGAAACTCACTGGGTGACTTTGGGCCAGTCAATCTCTCCCAGCTTGATCTACCACACAGATCTGTAATAAGGAAACGTACAAAACAGATGAGAAGAGTCAAGGGTGGATATAAATGTGACTAATATATTGTAATTAGGAAATAAATTAATCCTCAGCAGCACTATCTGGCCATCCAAGTAGGAGTGGTGAGAGGGGCAAGGAAGGTTGAAATGCTGTGCCTTGTGATGAGCATCTCTTCCCTACATCAGAAGCCTTCAGACAGTAAACAGAATTTCCAGATACTTTCCAGCATTCTATAAAGAGACACATTGCTCAACTTACACTGATACCAGATACTTCCCAGCATTCTATAAGAGACACATTGCTCAACTTACACTGATATTGTATGTATGTCCTCCTTTTAATCCATGAATAATAGCAGTGATGGACTTGTTCGTTCTGTCTATGACACTTAAATTATGTATCTGGAAGACAGTTGGGTCATCTTCTTTGTACACAATAGCCTGATATATTTGAATATTCCCGTTGAGTTCAGATGGAGGCATAAATGTCACTTGAAATTTCGTTACTTCATCAGGTATCTTCTGAAATGTTATGTTGTTAAGTGGGTCTTTGGGCACTGAAATAATGTTCAATAGTTAAGTTGATCTTCTATTCCAGTTTAATTAATGCATAAAGATTATATTTATGCATACTGTATATCTATTTTCTGTATCAGATATTATTAGACACTTGTGCATTGCTATTGCATAATAAAATGAAGCCAAAATAAAACACAGAAGCACTATATCCATTTGAAAATATTAAAAATGCTACAATACAGCAAGCTTTCAAAAAGACAAGATCTACTTTTCCAAATTAATCAGAAGAGTAAGTCTTAACCAATCAAGATAATAAATCTTTGAAAACCTGCTTTATATTTGTGTGTTAGCAAGGGCCCGAGCCTCATCAAAACTCATGCCTCTTTTGCACAGAAGGTCCTGAGTTCTATTCCTGAGATTAATCATCAAAATAATGATTTATTATGGGGATGATCTCTGGCAAAAGTATGGAAAACCCCTGCTAGTCAGAACAGATTCTATTGGACAAGAGGCAAGATGGATAAACAGTCTGACCTCACAAATAAGGCAGCTTTTAATGTTCCCAATTCAATAGATTTGTCTATGTCGTAATAAAACAATGGCTTGCTCTAATGCAGTTAAAATACCCAGTCCCCAGAATGGAGACAGAACCATCAAATCTTGCTACCCAACAGAGATATTTTCCCACTAAGTCCTTATTTTAGAGGTTTTGAAACCAGAACAGAATTTCACCAGATCTTTTAACGTCAATGGCCAACAACAGTGTGTATGTACTCTTCCCTATAACTGATGTCTGAGTGCCTTGCTTATATTGGTGGGACACATTTATTAATAGGAGTGAGATGATTTTAAAAATGACATAGTAGGTAGATGTTCTGGTCTTTATCACCATGGTGGGGAAAAAGCTATATCATGCTAGCCTATATGTCTTAAACTCCATCATGATAGTAAGTTTTATTTTAAATTAATGAAAATGTTAGTTTAGTATTCCTTTTCTGAACAGAAGAAAAGCCATACTGAGAGGTTCAGCAGCCAGAGACTTTTAAAACTGTATGTAAAATTAATGTGATTTTGCTTTTTTGGGGGGGGGGGGAAACACACTTAAGATATGTGCTTTAAAGTTCAAGATTTTAAAAATATGTTTCATACACTGGTTGTAGTCACTTTGCAGTTTTTAAGAGCTATGCCCTAAAAGGCAGCCTAAATCATTTAAATAAAATAATACAGTAAAATACACTGACCTACCTGCTTCAAAAGTAGAAACAATAACTGAAGGGCTTGCCTTGCCTTCAGTATGTGCGGCATGTATATCTCCTGTAAAAGCAGTGACCACTACAGAATACCTTGTAAACGCCCTTAACCCAGTGATAACAAGGATTTTATCTTCATCATTTGTTTTCACGAATGAAGCCTTATAATCATCTGTATCCACCTGCAGAAAGCAACAAAGAGGCAGGGGATATTTATTTCTGTATTCGTGATATCAATGGGTGGTATCTTGCTGAATGGAAAACTAGTTTAGCAGAACTGGTTATCCACTGATGCAAAATAGGAGTGGGTGGGTGAGTTAGGGAATAATATCAACATACACACCATGCATAATGGCATTGTCATGCTTTTTATCTCAGTAGCAGTGCTATAAATATTCTGCAGATTTTGTTCGTGGACAATGGCATTCCTTTGGATAGTCCTTAATTGGGCTCTAAGGATACTCCAGAGGATCAGTATTGCACATGGATGATTATAACCTTACCAATATAGAAATCTCATGTAATTTTCTAGAGATTTGAATGTAAGAATAATTTTATAACTCAAGTTACTGTAGATGTGCTCAGAATTTCATTCTGTTTAAACACTATATGATATATCAGAAGCATGACATACTCAAAATTCAAATTGGCTTTTTATCTGTTGTAATGGATAAACAATAAATCATAGTACAGAAATGTGCTTCTTGATTTCCTTTGCAGGGCCACAATGAAGGTCACAATACAGCCTGCAAACTAGGCTTCTTATATGTCTTATCATAGCAAGAACTTAAATTCAGTGTTTTAAAATTGTCTGTTTACATGGCTGAGTAAATATTTATATATTTTATGAATAAATATTTGCACAAAGAATTTACACATTGTATGAATAATAGTTCCTAACAGTATGACCTTATGAAACTTGGGCTTAGAAGGCTGAATTATTAACAAAATAAACATATAGCATTCATAGTAGATCATTGTGTGGATTTTTTTTAAATGCCCAGTTATATGGTGGTGGAAAACTGATCCCATGCCACTTTTAAAAGAAACATGTATAGGCTAGCTTACATTGTTGGATATATGAACTATAGTGCCTTGCATTTCCAAAGCCAGTATCTGTAGATAGACGCCACACAACTTGACCCATTGTGCTTGAACAGGATGGATTCTGTCCTAGTATTAGAAGGAGTGGGTGCTACAGCAGAGGAACTAGACAGTAGACAGAATGCTTATGTTCTCAGAAAGGCAAGTTGTCTTAAATTAACATACGATAAAGCACTACAAGGCACTACATTCTCTAAAACAGCAGCACTTTATAATTACATACAAAATCTCCATGCTCCTATCCTCATATTCTAACTCTGTTTTTTAATTGCACAATAGAAAATAAGCCTGCAGATCTCTACAGAAGCAGAATCAAAGCTGTATTGTGCACAGCTGCTCACACACTAAAAACATTCAAGCGTACATATTCTTTGACAAATGTGCCTTAGTATCCCCACTGACAGTGAAAGTCAGCTGAAGATTCTGATATGCTAAACAGGCACTCATTTTGTTGGGGGACCATCAAAATATGAAGTATTTTGTTTTCCTACATTAAAAAACCCCTATGTTTAACATAGATGCATCAATCTACAATACCTTCACATTGTATATTTATTCACAATGACTATTAGTGACTTTAACTTGTGTACTACAAATAACTATTGTGAACTGGCAATTCATTTCAAAAAGGCACACATTAAGGCTATTGGATTTATCAACTGCTCTTTCCCCTAAGGAAAAGTAAAAGGGATTTGAGCAAATATGTGCAGTTTGAGAAACAGTACACTTTTAATGCGACGTTGTGTTTAGATGAACACATTTTGAATCCCATCTCAGGGATGTCCTGCAGCAAACAAACATAGTGGGTGGCCCAGGCTAACCTGAAAATAGTTATGGCAAATTAAAGTAGAATGTAGCTGTAAAATGGCCTATATATAGAAAAACACAAATAACTACTGAAATCCTATTGCCAGAAGTTATGCTATATAATGCTAATGATACCACCAACCCCAATGATTTCTCAGAAATTAAAAGTTCCCAATTCCACACCCTTGGAAGCCCTTTTTTTTGTGGGGAAGCAGTTGGGAAGTATGGGATAGGGAGAGAGTCTTTAATTTCCAAAAATTACTGGTGGCAAATGATTTTACTGAAATAGATGATTTTTGGAAATTAAAGACTTCCCTCTATCCCATAGTTCCCAATTGCTTCCTCATGACAAAAGGGAGCCCAAGGGAATCTCAGAACCTTCAAGGGAAGAGGAATCAGAAAAAAAATAAGTTCCAAAACATTTCCATGACTGGTGACATCACCAGCTTTATGTGGCATAATTTGCATAACAGGATTTCAGCTCACAAGTAATATGCTCAGGACACACACATAGCTTAGCATCTTAGGTAATCACAGTAAAGAATAAGGAGAATGGGCCAGTTTATTAGACACAGATTAATGGAGAATCAAAGCAGTTAAAACCAGTCAATATAAAGAATAAAAATAACTGTAATTATAGCTTTTTTAAACTTGTGTCCTTTGGGGGGAAAAGGTGGGATAGAAATATTTTAAATATATAATTAATAAATAAACTTACATTTACAATTCCATTATGACAATTTTCAGCATTAGTATTAAAAATAACTAATGGCCATAAGGATAAAATAAAAATAACAGAAACAATCAGATTCCTCTGATACAGTCTTCAAGCTGTGTAGGGAGGTGGGGTTTTGTTTGTTTGTTTGTTTGTTGAGGTGTTATGCTGCTGCTGGGACTAGCAGCTCAAAGTGATTTCTCTCCCTTCACTCTGTGCTACCCATGCCATATCTTGTGCAACAGGGACTGGAAAGGAAGACATTGGATGAATTACACTGACACCCACATCCTGCCTTGCTCCAAATGACATGATGGATCCAAGTGCAGGGGCTAGCTCTCTCTGCCAGTCTCTCCCCCCCCCCCTCAAATGACATGATGGATCCAAGTGCAGGCGCTAGCTGTCTCTGCCAGTCTCTCCCCCCCCCTTTTTTTTTTTCCTGGCTTTCTGGTGTAAAATACACATACGGGCACCTTTGTATGGCACTGATGGTATGTATTAGATGGAAATGGCTGCCAAGATTTAAAGCATGTAATAATCTATTTTTTCCTCCTGCAAAATCTGTCACTCACCCTGTGATTTGTATCCATGTCTGCAGACCCAGAGAGGCGTAACATTTCTCTGACATTTCATTGGCAGCCTGAGGCAACCCTAACGAAAGGCTATCTGGATCACGCCTCTGGGATATTAATGTATTTCATCTTCTAATGACTGTCTCTTGGTATAGTTTGATCCCCAATGTCTGGTACCAAATCTTCAGGAAACAAGAGGGAATATGCACATTTAGACATGAATATTTTGTTGGGGTTTATTTGTGTGTTTCCAATATAGTTGTTAGACTTGTTATCTAAATGCGTTCTGTCTAATTTGACATATAAAACTTCCTCTTGTTCCAATGATATTTGTTGCTGTTTTTTTTATTAGCTCCAGTATAGGGAATCAACCTATTCTGAAGAAATATATGTCCCCAATATGTTCAGGTTTGTTGCCTAAAAAGAGGTTCTCATGACCAAATAATATGTACCAATTATGACATTAGATATCTGCTCTGTTACATTTTGACCTAAGCTTAAAACACTGCACTACATGGACAAGAACTAACCAATATTATTATATTGGAATGAAATACGGGACTGAACCATGAAAATAATGTTGCCCGCATCAGCTACAACCAATTAGCTGTAAAGACTGGACTTGCATGGTCAAAGGAAAATGAGAAGAAAAAGTGAACTTACAGAACAATCCTATAGGGCTACCCAGAAGAAAATCTCACTGATTTCAATAAAACTAATTCTCAGTTAACTAAATATAGAATTGTAGCCTACATTTGTTATAGATCCATAACAGAAAGTATTTAAGAATTATTAGTAATGGAAAAGATTTGCTTTATTTTTTAAAAAAATCTTTTAAAATGATGCCTAGAAATCATATTTTCATTAACTGATGTATAAAAAAATAATGAATGTGGCAAAACACACTTGTTTGTAAAATCTGAAGTAGCAAGACACCATTTCTCAAGAGAGCCACAATATTTTATCCCAGGATTTTCAGTGGACAAACTGCATAATCGTTTTATTGGAGTTTGAGCATCAACAGACCTTTCCACACCTGTAGCTACTGATCACATAGAAGCAATTTTTTAAAGGAAAATTGTGTTATCCATGAATTACACCAATAAAAAGGTTGCAATTTTCTTAAACTATATTTATATATTGTTTGGAAGTTTCGTTACAAATGTTAAATTCTGAGATTTAAAAGTTAAGTTTCAATCCAATATGCATCTATCCAGAAATAAATCTCATTAAGTTTAAGAGGGCTTAGTAAAGGTAAAGGTAAAGGTTCCCCTTGTCAATTTGTCCAGTCGTGTCCGACTCTAGGCGGTGGTGCTCATCTCTGTTTCCGACCCATAGAGCTAGAGTTTGTCTGCAGACAATCCTCCATCAGTCACGTGGCCAGCATGACTAGACACGGAACGCCGTTTACCTTCCCACTGAAGTGGTACCTATTTATCTACTCACATGTTTGTATTTTGAATGCTTTCAAACTGCTAGGTTGGCGGGAGCTGGGACAAGCGACGGGGGCTCACTCCATCACATGGATTTGATCTTATGACTGCTGGTTTTCTGACCTTGCAACACAGAGGTTTCAACAATTGTTCATAGGACTGGAATTAGGCTTGCTGAAATCAGTGTGAGAAAACTGGCTTCTTTGGGCAACTTGTTGATTTGTCCATCATTATGCCACCTATTGTACGTGGTGGTGCGGTGGGCTAAACTGCAGAAGACAATGCTGCAGGGACAGAAGACCAGCAGTTGTAAGATCGAATCCATGCGACGGAGTGAGTGCCCATCGCTTGTCCCAGCTCCTGCCAACCTAGCAGTTTGAAAGCATTCAAAATACAAACATGTGAGTAGATAAATAGGGACCACCTCGGTGGGAAGGTAAAAGTGTTCCGTGTCTAAGTCGCACTGGCCATGTGACCAGGGAAGATGGGCTTCGGACAAACGCTGGCTCTATGGCTTGGAAACGGGGATGAGCACCACCCCCTAGAGTCGAACACGACTGGACAAAAAATTGTCAAGGGGAACCTTTACCTTTATGCCACCTATTATATTTTATAATGCTTTTGACCGAGAGCTAAATACCATACAATATAAAAAGAAACTCAAATTGCTAGCAGAAAAAAAAGAACAAAAGCAGTCCACAGTACCAAAATAAGGTTTTAAAAGTTCACACATTTCATGAAATAGAATTTAATGTTTTACAGTGACAGAATACGTTCAGACTTGACAGTTTCCAATGGTGTTAGGTAACACTTTACCTGAACAATGACTGAGCTCAGGAACAAGTAAGCAAAAAAAAGAGAAGTTTGTCTCTAAGCATCTGCAGACTAACTTCTCCTCTTGACACATACAGAGGTATTTCCAGGACTCCTTATTGTGACTCCACACCATCTTCTCCCTTTATCTATATTGTTGGTATGTCTAGCCAATCATACCCTGTCATTTTCCTCTCACAACCAAGTATCTAAAACCAGTTTATATGTAGCAGAAAAGCTTTTAAGGCATGTTTAGTGGTCTAGGTTAAACCAATTTTTGAGAACATCTACAATTTTGAAACAACCACTAACATTATATGAGATATTAACCTGTATTGTTAAGTATCAAAGAGGATAAAAAAACCTCGTGACTTACTGAGCTAATGTCAATGAGGTAAAATGTTGGTCCAGTAATGATGGCAGGTTCATTCCAGCTAATATTGATATTGTAAGGAGATGTAACTACTACAGTTACATTTTCTGGAGGAGCATCTGGAGCTGTGGAGAAAGTTGAAATACATCTCAAGAAACATATTTAGTTTACAAAAGAAGAAGAGTTAATTCAGAGAATTTCAGTAATATTTGTCAATTCTAATTCTCTCTGCTTTTTCAATATTATTTGCTGGTAGACATAAATATAGGAAAAAAGAGATACATGGTAGTATCTATGTTGCTTTTAACTGTGAACATGTTATAAATGTAGAAACTGCATGTATGGTAATAGCTGGCATACTGTGCTGCTCAAGGCATTTCAGCAAAAGGAGAACCTGTTAAGAGGCAAAGACCGCTAAGTTATTTTGACACATGAGGCAGAAAATGCCACAAGCATCTTGATAATTTCTGGAGGTTAAAATGCAACAACAGCATAGTAAATAACTAAGAATCCAAAATCTGCTGCCAGAAACAGTCAGCCTCCTCTGATTCATGGTAGGATAGATTGTACCCATAAAAGCAAAAGCCTAAAAGCTATTAATAAGGTTCCTTGGTATTACTCAGTATATTCAACAGCAAAGTAGCAGAATTAAGGCCCCAACCATCAATTCTAAAACAATATTATAATAGCAATCAGATTGTGTATTATGTCTTGTCAAACTGATTCTGATTTATGGTGTGGTTTTTGAGGTATGTGAAGTATTTTAAAGAATGTTTTTACCAGTTGTTGTGGGTTTTTCAGGCTCTTTGGCCGTGTTCTGAAGGTTGTTCTTCCTAACGTTTTGCCAATCTCTGTGGCCGGCATCTTCAGAGGACAGCATTCTGACTCCTGTCCTCTGAAGATGCCGGCCACAGAGACTGGTGAAACATTAGGAAGAACAACCTTCAGAACACGGCCAAAGAGCCCGAAAAACCCACAACAACCATTAGATCCAGGCTGTGAAAGCAATGTTTTATCACTGCTCCACTCTTCGTGTGTTTTCATACCTGAGCGGGGATTCGAATCCAGGTCTCCTGAGTCCTAATGTGACATTTTGTCACTATGCTACACACACTCTATTGCAAACGGAACACTTGCCATACAAAACTGATACAAGAATATGCATTTAAAACATTACACTCCTGAAGACCAGATCCAGTTGATGAGATGCTTAAGGCATTCTAGACTTTGTACAGTAAACTCTCTTTTTCAAACTAGATTTTCACTGATACCTATGAGATTAGGGATTAGCCACATAAATATTAACATAGAATACTTTTTTTTCTAAGAGAATCACTTTCTGGTGCTAGGCACACTGCCACAGGCTGAGTTGGCTATACTACATGAATTAATTGGCCATGCACTTAAACTTTGTTTAGACCACTTTGGGGAATCTGACTGAAACTGTAACTTTTAGAGAGCTATACTTAAGTACTGAAATTGTTTTCATCTGAGTTTGGCATGTGGCAATCAGCATGTGGCAATCAGCATGTGGCAGTCAGCAGTTTACGTGGACAATCCAGCCTGTGGCAGCAAGTTTCCAAATCATCAAAGCCTGAGTGAAAACCACAGCTGCCATGGGCTCAAAGGGATGCACATTTGGGCACTTCCATATAAATGCATTTAGGATTAGAAAGCTAATGCTTTTCAAACTCTTTGCCTGTAGTGCCAAGCCATCACTTGATTAGCTTTCATCACAGTTGAAGAATGTTCAACAAGAAACAGAATTTTACAACAGATAATTGGTATAACCAAAATATGACTGGAAATTTGAAATCTATTAGCTTCAGTCTAGGAACCTTACTACAAACATCTCACATACACAAAAACTGAGCCAACAGTAACTGTCACATACTGATTTACAATTGTTTGTGAAATGAGTCTAGCCAGTAATGGGGCAAGATATCACCATACAATTTTTCTTATAAATCACAGCAATTTACTCAGTAGGAATGACCTGGTCTTATTCACCCATTCCCCCTATAATCCAATCACTTCCTCTCATGAGCACTTTTCTCCTGGTTTTCACAATAATGCATTTTCTGTAACTAATAACCATCATTTCCTGATTATCATGCTTCTATGCTTGCACTGGAATGTGGGTCTTATAGAGGTCAGGGTCATTTTTTCCCATCCATCTGTGTCCTGATGCTAAGGCAGCAGTTAGGTTTGTTAGCTGGATGGTTCGACTGGATAGCTTATTTTACAGAGCAGGTCTTCAAAAACTAGGATTTATCCTCTGTTGGTCCAACACATCCTCAGGCTTCAATCACTCCATTAGGGCTTTTATTAGCGTAGTAGTTTTAAATAATAAGGGTATGTCTATAGAAAGCAAACTTAAGTCTAGATTTGCACAATACAAGGATAATACATAAAATTAGATAATTTGAACAAACATTTTAAAATGCTTCAGGCTGCCAATGCATTCATTCAGAGGCAAAATTACAGGAATGAAATTCTTTCTTTGCTGCCAAATCTGTGAGGAATTTGGAATACAGAGAGGGTTCAGGATTATTACATCTGGCCTTTAATCCAGCACAAGCATCTCTACAAGAAATCTACTTTGTGATGATCATTTTTTTTAGAAGTAAGATAAAGGCAAACGGAACAGTGAAAGTGGAGAGTACTTCTGGATTTTGTTTCTCATAGAGGCTCTACTTACCCAGTTTCCCCAACATGTGAGGCCCTTCCCCCTCCGTAATCACATTTCTCCACATGGGAACAATGTGTTTACAGATGACACATTACAGATGACACATATCAGCTTTTCTGTGACCAAGAATCTTAGAAAATCAATTCTTGCTCACATGGAGAAACTACATTTGAGTAGACACCTCTCCTCTATGGACATGTCTGGGAAGAGGGGAAGAGCTAGGCACTCCTTTCAACGCAAAGTGAATTTATCCAGTCAATAATGATGGATTGGCCTCTATTAATTATACCTTTTCCCTTGTTCTGGACAGTGCTGGTAAACAGTGTTTTAATACAAACTCCCGACTATTTATTACTTTGAAAAATACCCTGTTCTACAGATTGAGTGGAAATATTAAAACACATTGCAGTATTTTCTTCTGTCCTGTTTTGCTTTATTTGTATAATTTGTAGGCTGCCATTCTCCCTATCTTCTAAACAGAGCCTGAAAATGTACATGCTGTATACAAGCCTCTGTCCACCCAACTTTTAGTATACATTGTGGAAGTACATGCTGTATATAAGCCTCCTTCCACCCAACTTTTAGTATACATTGTGGAAAGAAATATTATGAAGACAATAATTGTACATGAATAAGCACGGCACTTAGGTTAGGATGAACATATAGAGATCAGGATACAGCCAGTAGGAGTAATGTTGGACTCCTCCCCTCTATGCTTTCTACTGAGATTGTCTTCTGCACTGGCTGCATGGTTTACCTGATGTATACTCAGGCACTAGAAAAAACAATGAAATATCTGCATGGGAAAGGAATTGCTAAATTTTGGGAGGATGAGACAACATTGACTTTAATGTTGCACAAAAGGGAGAAGCTCAGCAGATAAGTCTGGCACATCACTGATTCTGAACATCAGACAAGCTTTTCCTCCTAAATTCACATTCTTAACCATATTTCCTAGCTTCCTAGTATTTTGAGCATCCAGATACACAAGAAGAAAAACAACTACATTATAGTTGTGTAAAACAAAGAATTTCAATATGGTCAGCTTTTATCACCATCCTATGATTAGTTAGAGCGATCAACATTTCTTGTTCTTCTGTGAAACAAGCTTATGGTTTAGCGGTATGGTAACGATATAGTTGGATTCTTTAGATAGCAGATCTCATTGCAAAGCAGAGTTGTATAATTTATTAGCAGTGCAATAACAGTACCATCAAACTGTTTTATGAGACAGACAGTTCCTATGAGGACAATCTATAAAACAGAAGGCTGAGTACTCTATCTGTCTAACTGTGGGAACAAAAATACCATTGGTGATATAACTACAAATTTAACATTACTGTTTTTATATTTACCAGTGTGTTGGATACTGATAAATCTTTCAAGAATTATTGATGTTTAAAATATAAGAGAATCAAATGTTACACGTTCCTGTGGAAATTGACATAAATATTTCCTGATTTCCAAAATATTTATTTGATTATAATATCATGATCATCGGTAGGTAGGGCTTGTCAGCCTTGGAAGTCAGCCCATCTAGGAGAAGGAAAACTCCAGTTTCAAACCTCCACTGCCTTGTGGCTATATCCACGGATGGAAAAGGCTACAGGAGTTAACCTTGAGGCAAAATCCAGAGCTGGAGTCCCGGAGGCAGTTCGTGTCGTTCTGTCAACTCCTGCGCCGTCGCTGGAACCAGTTGTATTGGCTCTTGCCTTTCCATTGGACTATTTCAAAGACATGGAGAGGGGGGATTTGCTGCCTGGGTAACAGCCTATCCTCCATGTTATTTTACCCAGGCTTCATGCTCTGGAGCCCGCCTTAAACTGGGCAGTCCCCAGCCAGTAAGGTACTACCTTGCCACGGTCTGTTAACCTCATGTGTTGCGTGGGGTTTAGGGTGAAAGACGACAAGCAGATCAATAACTTTGCACCATGCAACAAATGTAAGAAAATTTCTACCCTAAAGTTGGGCACCTGGAATGTATGGACAATGACCCCTGGCTTTTCTGACGATGGCTTTTCTGACGACCTGCAGGAAATAGACGATGTGTGCAAGACAGCTGTCATCGACATGGAACTGAGTAGACTGCAGATGAACATTGTTGCCCTGCAAGAGATGAGACTGCAGACTTGGAATCTGTCAAAGAAAAGAACTTCTCATTCTTCTGGCAGGGAAAACCATTGAATGAGACCAGGAAATATGGTGTTGGCTTGGCAGTCAGAAATATTCTGCTGAGATCCATTGTTCCACCTCCTGTGGGGAGTGAAAGAATCCTGTCTCTGCAGCTTCACTCATCAGCGGGACCAGTCACACTCATTAGTGCATATGCACCAACACTGT